GACGAAGAAGAAGAAGACGACGACGACGACGACGACGAAGAAGAAGAAGAAGAAGAAGAAGAAGAAGAAGAAGATGGCGGCGGCGGCAGGGCAGTATGGTATGGTGGCGGGTTATGGCGGCGGGCTGTGGCGGCGGTCCTACAAGAAGAAGAAGAAGAAGAAGAAGAAGAAGAAGAAGAAGAAGAAGAAGAAGAAGATGAGAGGGGGAGGGGGAGGAGGAGACAAGAGGCAGAAGAATGATCGGCGAAGAAGAAGAAGAAGAAGAAGAAGAAGAAGAAGAAGAAGAAGAAGAAGAAGATGATGACGAGCGGAGCAGGTTTTTTTTTTTTCCCTTACCTGTCGTTTATCTCGCGACCTATTGCTAACGAATGTAAAGAAAAAGAAGAAAAAGAAGATAGTCGGAAGAGGAGGAGGAGGAGAGAAGAAGAAGAAGAAGAAGATGAGGGGGAAAACGACAACGAGAGAAGAAGAAGAAGAAGAAGAAGAAGAAGAAGATGAGAGGGGGAGGAGGAGGAGGAGTGAAGAAGTCGTGGAAGAAGAAAAGCAGAAGAGGTATAAGCAGAAGAGGTATAAGCAGAAGAAGAAGAAGAAGAAGAAGAAGAAGAAGAAGAAGAAGAAGAAGTTGAGAGGGGGAGGAGGAGGAGGAGAGAAGAAGAAGCAGAAGAATGAGCGGAGGAGGAGGAGGGAAGAAGAGAAAGAAGAAGATGAAGAAGATGAAGAAGAAGAAGAAGAAAAACAGAACAAAACTCCATGTCGACGGGCGACAGCGGTTGTCGGCAGGCAGGAGCACCGCGATCGACGACGCTGGCGACGGGCGACGGTCGACTCGACGACGACGCGCGAGTGAAGCTCCCAGGCGATGGCGACGAGGGGCAGCTACTTCGACGACGAACGCAGGCGGCTGGAGCAGGTATCGAGGCCCCGTTTGGACAGCCAATGCAGGCCACCCCAGCCAGTCGCTTGTTCAAACGGGGCCTCCGTTTTCCCTCCAAAAATGAACGGCCCTCTGGCCGTCGATCATGGATGATCGACGGCCAGAGGGCCGTCCCAAATTCAAAAAAAAAAAAACAGGCCTCCC